AAAATGCAATAATAGCGTACTAAGGAGTACTAGTGTAATAGTCATGTAAAAAGATAAATTTACTCAGGGAACACCGTAAAAAAGTAGGTGAAACAACTTACTGACGTTTTGGACGTTAATCCTTAGTCACCTTACTCCAACGAAGGATTATATATAACGTTCCATCTTTAAGATGTTACATTTACCTTTTTACACACACTGGATGTAAATATGATGTAAGTGTCGGCAAAATTCTGTAAATTTCATGTAAATGATCTCCATTAAATTTACAGAATTTTGGACACTTACACCATATTTACATCAAATTTACTACCTTTCAAACGCTCGATTCTTTCTAGTGATAACAGTTTCTTTAGAAACAACGACGCAGCTCACACTAGTTTACCAATAGTTTCAATCATTGGTATTAGTGTAATAWCTGTTTCACGGGTTTTTATGACTTCACTCTACAAAGGCGGCCTATAAAAGAGAATGTACAGTTTGGTATCATTACCATCATTATTATCAACACTTTTTGAATAAAACAGGGCGATTGATAAGAATTTGGTATCATTACCATCATTATTATCAACACTTTTTGAATAAAACAGGGCGATTGATAAGAATCAAATATAATGGAGAGATGCTGCCTCGAAACTCAATAATACCGACTCAAAACCCCTCCCTGCTCCCCCCATAAAATCCTGTTGAATATAGCCATCAACCGCGCTTTACACAGCGCAATTCACTTCCATTCAGCTTCCTGAATATRTGGTTAGTGTGGGAAGAAATCATGGCTGTTCGTGTTGTGCTCAAGCTGTTTATATCTTGTTGCTTGTTAAAAGAATTGCCACACAGCAGTTCTTTCTTATCGCAGTGATCAGTTTCACTTGATCAGATAAGTTGCTTTTCTCTAATAAATTAACTTAAAAACATGGTATTACTTCCGATTGTTGCGTAATTATTAATACTCCATTTTCGAATTCAAAGTGAATAACCGCTTTTTTGACAGCAGATTCTCTTACACAAAGAATTCTTTAACAAACACAAAAGAAAGCACGAGAAAATGTTGTAAGTACAATAGCCCTAAGTCCGCTAACAATTTATATTTTCCCCGAGTTGAGGCTAACCCTGTATTCCCAGAAGGCTCATACCTTAGGTCTTATGGGAATGCAGGATTATTCTCAATTCGGGGAAAATAAAAGCTTTCAAGTCTATTATAATTGTTTTAATTCCAAACAAATGTGTATATTACAGAATAAAAAAAAGATATTCGCGTAATTTAGAAATATTTAATCACTTAAGTTTTTCATGTGCTTAGTGTATGCTGTTTTATGGTATAATTTTGGTGTACAGTGACGTCATTAGAGTAGAAGTACTAAAATAGATAGAGCAAACCCTGGAAAAGCATGAAATAAAATCAATAACTAAATACTAACAGACAGTGGCTATTTAGCAGACAATTTGTCAGTATCAATGAACCAGAACACAATATAGATGAATGAAAAATGTTCTCATCAAGCGCGTAGCGTGGACGTTTTGGCTAGTACGCACATCTCAGGGACCGCGAGACGTATTTTGGATCTGGGGTATCTAACGACCGCCAAAGGCAGGAGTATTAAGGGAGTCTGGACCTCCCCCATGAAATTTTGAAATAATAACTCTTTGAATGCGATTTCCAGCTTTTTGAGAGACATCAAGGGCATATGAAGGAGATCAATTTTATGTGATTTTTTTCAGTAGTTTTTGAAAAAATTTTAATATTTCCTTGTCACTAGTACGCACGTGCGTATACTCGCGTAAAGGACGCTACGCGCCTGCTCATGTGGATTCATCTTCATTGTGTTCTGGTTTATTGATACTGACAAATTGTCTCTAAATAGCCGCTATTTGTTAGTATTTAGTTTGATTTTATTTCATGGTTTTCCTGCGTTTGCTCTATAACACACTAATACACCCTAGTACGCTCTAATTGTACTGTTTTCCTTTGTATTTATTTGTCTTGCTAACTTTAATAGTCACCGGTTTATTTGTGGTTTAGCGGACAAAAGAGAACAATCGCTCTTTKTAAATCACTTGGTCACATAGTTCGTTCTTGCTATGAAACCAAAATCTTCTAGGAGGAACCGACGGGTTTCTGGGAGAAATGTATCTGTTCTTATGTCCCAGCCAGCTGTAAGTCACAACTGGTTGCCAGCGAGAAATGCAGGAAAAAAGAACTCTCCAGACAAGGAATACTTTCTGAGAATTTTTGCCAGAGTAAAAATTTYCTAACTAAAAAATACATAAGCTGTTTTTGACTTAAAAACGATTGCATTGGTTTAGCAGGAACAAAATTATTTTAAGGAAGGAAGGGCCGCCACATTTGCTTTTGAGATTGTCACTAATGTAGCTCAAAATCCCTTTCACAGAAAAAAATCGTACACGAACAGTTACTTAGAAGAAAAGCGGACTCATTCGTCTCCTCCTGATCTTCTTGAAGAGTGTAGCAACATTTTTTAGGCCTTTTCCAGCAAGAGYTRCGTTTTTGTATCGTTTCTGTGTTGTTCTCTGTCAAGGAAATGAAAAGAAATGARCGATACACAAATATGTCGGATTCCTTTTAACGTAACTGAATTTGAAAGATTGGGACATCCGACGTTACATGCCTAAGAATCGGATRCACCGCAGGATAACATCTCACTTAGTGCGGAATTGAATAGTGACAATGATCTCGTTCCCAGGCGTCTCTCCAATCACTCCTCTGAATGACGTCATATCCGACATTTCCTTTTTAGGATTTCGTACGTCGATCGATCTCTATTGCAATCTTTATAATTATCATTTGAAATGACGTCAAGGTCGAAACCAGTCATCAACAAAGATTGTTACTGAACCCATTCATAACAACGACGCGGCAGCTCTGACTGAGCACATGCAAAATCCATTCTTGCAACAATTTTCATAGCGTGACGTCACAAGAATGTAATGAATGCGTGGTGATGTTTCCGAATACCGGCAAGATCACTAACCACTTCAAATTCGCCCCCAGACGGAAGGGAGCAGGACCTTAGATTTAATCAGACGCAAGCGTGATTCTTTTTTTATCAAAAATGCGTCACGTTGGCCTCCAGAACCTACTACACTGATACTTTTGAAGACGCCGTTGAAGTCAAATTTGTTTTGGAAAAGTCCACGAAATATGAAATACAAAAGTACTGAACTTGTCTGCTAGCAGCATTGCCAAGTTCGGAGACGATGTGACTCGTTTTTCACCTTACTTAGTACTACATAAACTTCTTGTAAACTTGACGAGTGACCAAAAACATGCATGAAAATTATAAACATTAACAATAAATATGAACAATGATGCGTTGCAAGTTGAGGTATCTAGTATTTCTCCGCCTTAACAATAGACTGCACAGATTTCGTATGAGTGCATATGATTACGATACTTTCGTACCGTGACCGCG